AAATAACCTAATTTTTTACTCTTAAATATGGAAAATATCTATAAACTAGAGAAATTAAGGAATTTTCCAAATTTTATATAATTTTCTAAATAAATACTAAAAGAATATTATGTAAAGTTTAAAATTAGCCTTTATATTTAATTTATAACCAAATTAAATAAATCTTTTATAAATTTACATATAAAATTTGGTAGGCATGTCTAGTTTATTTGATCAATAAGTGTACAAATGTTTACATATTGGTAGACTGATATACGTATTTAAATCTGCCTTGTATTATTTTCTAGTTGAATAATTAACATAATGAAAGAAATTAGATTTAAATCCTTTCACATTTGTATAGTATACCCTTAATTTTTATAACTCATATGAATGAAATTTAAGATTTAATAGTTAAAATAAGGCTTAAGATATAAGATGAGGTCTGTGCTGTGAATGTTAAAGTATTAATTTTTTAAAAAAAGAATGTTAATCTTCCTGTTTTCTATTGACGGACGCCAAATTTTATTAATTTCATATTCCAATGATAAAAGAAAAATTCTCCTAAATTCAATTAGGGTTTACGTATAGGGACTAGGTATCGGTGTTATGAGTGCCGTCAAGTGAAACCAGTAAATCTATATTTAGACTTGCTGGTTTTTAGTTGGTGGCATTTGAGTAAAAGACATTGATCTATAAATTAAAATGTAAGCTATTATTAGGTTTTATTCCCTAAATAGTTATGTAATACGTTCTGGGTAGTATAGTTGTTAGGAGAAACCATTTTGCGCAGGTGGCGAAAGACGAAACCCCAGTGAAATTTCGAAATCCTGGCAAAATTGGTGAAACCCTGGCGAAAGGTGAAACCTCTGGCGAAGTCAGAGCTCCAGCGAAGGTCAAATCCATTAAGACTTAGTAAAGACAGATCCGTGTTGACAAATAAAACTATTTTGCATAGGTTACTAAGCACTGCATGTGGCTTATATAAAGAAATATATAAAGCAATTAAAGCAATAAACAAAGTGATAGCTTTTTGTTTGTATTTGAGTACTATTATAAGAAATTATATTTCAGCTTTTGAACTTAAAATTATATAAACTCAGCCTCAAAAAATTTTATGTCTGAAATTATTATTATTATTATTATTCTAATCTTCGAAGGTGAGGCCATGCCTCTATCTTTATTAAAATTTAATTAAACTTCTTTACAAATTAGAATAAAGAAATTACATTTAAGATACTAAGAGGCTCAGACTAAGTTCTTGCTAACTTAAAGTTATAAGAGTTATCTACAACCTAAACCTCATAATATAACGATTTTAAAACTGTTAACTTAATAATATCTAGGCTGTTAATATATTTTTAATATATAGTCAATACTGTCTAAATGCATATAGTTGGGAAAGACAATAAAAAATTAATTTTATGCATTTATATAGTATTAACAAATCAGATTCAAAAATTAATTGTTTAAATGCATATTATTATTAATTTTTTTTAAAAAATTTTGCATTTAGATAGTATTGACTATATAATAAAAATTAAAAATTATATTTTGGTACACTATGCACTGTGGTGTACCCTCACATAAACAAATAAATAAATATTTCAATATTCTTTAAAATTATTTGATTTGATAAATTTTGTGTACAGATGCATAATCTTATTTTACAATTATACACAAATATATGAATGAATATTTTGTGTAAATTTTATTCAGTCTTACAATTTTTTCTCTTGTCAAAAATATAACATGTTTGACACAAGATCTCAAAGGGTTATAAGTTAGACAGTATGGTTTTAGCTCTTGTTAGGATTTCATTTTGTTCTTATCAGGTTTTTGCTTTTTGGACTTAAAATTTATCATTCACTTTGCATCACTAAATACTCTTGAACATATTACTAATCCTTATAAATCATTTACTGTAAAAAAAAAAGTTGTATATAGAGAACTTACCTCCTATATAGATGACAAAAAGTAAGTGTATTAGTTAGAATTAACATTTGATAGGGCATTGATTGGTACCATTTTTTACTGTAAAAAAAAAAAAAAAAGTCGTATGTAAAGAACTTACTCGCTGTAAAAGTGACAAAAAAGTAAGTAGATTAGTTAGAATTAACGCTCATTTGTGTCATTATTTACTGTAAAAAAAAAAAACGGTTTCGCTCATTTCACCGAGATTAGACTACGCTTGTAGAAGCACACTGGCTTTCCACCTAATTTTCTAGTAATAACATTGGATTCTGTGGCTCTGTTAATGACAAATTTTGAAAGTAAATAAATATTTTATATCAAACATTACAACTTTTATTATTCTTCAGCCAAATTCATACCTGACTACGGTTAACAAACAATATGCGTTGGAAACTTTCAATTGGTCAATAGCATAACGAACATTAGTGTTTTAATATAATATAGAAGAAGAGAAGATATTCGGGATCATCATAACAGATAAGCAGTTGAGTTTATGCTGGCCGGTGGCTTCTCGCCTGCATAATATAGGACGGCAGTTAGAGCTGAATTGGCGATGGCTGGTGGGAATTACAACTGTGCTTTCCACTGAATCAGCTATTTTCTCACAGTATTCATTATTACGTTATAATTACTATATGCGGAAGGTCATTTAGAATCATACTCCTCCTGTAATCTTGATTATGCGGGATTGGTCCTATTCCTGTTGCTATTTTCACGAAGCACATTGCCCCGCTTAACACCTTTGTGATCCGTTGACTTTTGTCAACTCGAATGAAATTACAGCGGATTGGTATAGGTGAGCAGATCTGTATAGTACAGGCTCAATTTTTTAAAAACTACACCATACCGATATATTATTCAATTTTTAGGGAACTTTCAGGTTTTCATTTTCATGACTCATAATTTAAGATTACAGTACTGTACATACTGGTTTGGAGCGAAACTAAGATTCATCGATTTGGTAATTATTCGTGATCAACATATATCTGGTATCGGTATTGCATAAATGAAATACTACCGATATATAAATCCACGCGAAATTAATTACCCAGAGTCATGAGACAAAACTGCTTTTTTTATAAGGATAATATCGACATATGATATTGCATACGATATATTCCATTATTAGTTAAGGTACTTTTTTTATCCAATCAGATATTTTAGAGCGGACATGACTGCATGACAGCGGGGTAATTTTACGGTGCAAATCATCTAAAAGCATCCAAAATCGTAATTTCTTAATGAATAATTAGAATTTTGCAAAAAAAAATTCGTACTTTTGTAGTTCTACATAAATTCTACAAAGTTACGATTTTTTTTTACAAAATTTTAATATTCATTGAGAAATTACGATTTAAAAAAAAACGTAACATAATTTTAATGTGGCTTTACTTGGCGAAAGTGATCGATCATCGCCATATAAAGATAGATTACACAAATTGTCTGCCAAAACGTTACATATATACACAAATGGCATCGACGGTATTACAAAAAAAATTTCATTAGATTCTAGAACAAAAAATTTAGTTTTCTAGAATATCTATTTAGTAGGCATTTATTTAGCTGGAGTTTTTCAAGTGAATTTTTTTTTAAATTAGACCGCACAAATAAAATTATTTAAGAATATATCGATTTAATAAATCTTTCCGACATTAATTTAAACATGAATGTTTGATTTAAAATACACTTTCGTTAATGTTCCTGTAGAGTTCTCTTATGATAATGGAGAGGACAAACCTAATTGTATCAATATTTCGGTTTGTGAACTAAAATCCAATATAAGAGGCTGTTACTGATAGTTTTAAAAAACAAAAATTAGAAATACGTGACGAGTCTACCTGATATGCATTAACGTTGGGAAGCCCATAGAGAAACTTACCATATAGTATGCGAATACGTACAATGAATCAATTGCAAGTTTAAATAGATTAAGCAATCATAAAACATTTTTTATATCAAAAAAAATGCAAAGCATCACTTAGATTTAATTGAACAGGTCATTAAAAATCGACCCAAACAATGCACTTTCATTAAAACAACTACAACCACCATTCTTTCACCATCTCTGCGAATCGTGAATTGACATAATAAATCATTGCATCCTGTTGGTTCAAAAATCCTTCATCCACTAACACTTCTAATGCCATAGTAAACAATGCAGCTATTTGTTGAATACTAGGTTTAGAATTAGAATTCTAAAAATATCAAACATTAAAAAAAAAAAAAATTTAATTGTTAATTACAATAAAATGTGTACTTAATTATCATTTTATAATATTACACTTACCAAATTGGCCGCTACTTTTGTAGCCAGTTCATGTAATATAGTAGACCGTCTTATCCTTACTATACTAAATCTAATTAAGTTGTTTTTATAAATATATCGCGTAACTGAATTGATAAACTTATCTTCTGTTAGTTGCGAAGATTGATCTTCCAAAATGCTCATTCTATCAAACATTTTGGGGATTGATGTTTGCATGTCTTTATCCAATTTTTTCTCTGATATCGACATTATAAGTGGTGTATCCTATTTAAATATTTATAATATTAACTCATAAATACATACATATATGTGCCAAAGAAACCGTTTTTTTTGTTTTTTGAAAAATACCTCAATATCGCTAACATCATTAACCTCAATATCGCTAACATTATCAATTAATTCCACATAGTCTTTATTCGCCTATTTGAATATTTATATGCAAATTATTAACTTGTAAATAAATATATATGTCAAAAAAAATTTTTTTTATTATTACAAATTACCTCTTTATTACTAACATCATAGATCAATTTTATATTGTCTTCATCTAATCTTTCTTCTAATTGCAACATTATAAATGGTGCCTCCTATTCGAATATTTATAGGCAAATAAATATATATATCAAGAAACAATGTTTTTTTACAAAATACAGTCTACCTTCATTATAATATAGGATAAACTCTGTCTGTTATAATGAATATCCGCTATAGCACTATATAATATATTACTCCATTATAACTAAGTATGCGCTATAATGAGGGTAGACTGTACCCTGTTTTTTTAAAATATCTTATTGCTAGTCAACCCCGCATTGTCTTCATCTGATTTTTCCTTTTTATCATTTTCTTCATCGGATTTTTCCTCTTTATCATTGTCTTCATCTAAATTTTCCTCTTTATCATTATTTTCATCTGAATTTTCCTCTTCAGCACTAACATCAGCAATCAATTCTGCATTGTCTTCATTCGCTTTCTATTCGAATATTTATAAACAAATAAAAATTCGTATTAACTTGTAAATATAAGGTAAATGAGGGTATTGTGACGAAGGGGGGTATTGTGACGAACTATTAATTTTTTGACTTCCCGTTAATAA